CCGGACGTTGTGAATCGCGTCACGATTGAACACGGCTGTGCGGGCGTTGCACGCAAGGTGGTATGAATCGTGCATTCATTGCAAAGAACCGCCGTGAGGACTCCGTCCCAGGATCCATTCACGAGGTGTCTTGGCATTGATGTTTTAACAGCGTACAAGTTACGTATGGTTTGATGAGCACGCTCGACCATAGAGTTGGCTTGAGGGTTACGCGTGGTGATGAACTTGCGACGAAGTCCATTCATCCCGGAGTGTCTTTTCGACCTCTGCCGGAACTCACGTCCTCTACCATGATAACCTCAGCAGGCCATGGTTACCGGTAAGCCACGTTTGTTCTAGGACGATGGTACTTCTCTGCTGCCTTGAGCAGATCTCTGCAATCTCGAACCTCGGTTACGGGATCAATCTTTGTCAGGCAATGAAGTGTGCAGGATTCTTTTTCTTGGGATCCCCGACGTTGTAAGGGCCTATCAGGTCATTACATAGTCTTTCCCAAGGATCTCCTCGCAAGTCTTTGGAGGCATCAATCCCAGCTTACGCGTCTGGGTTTGTTCATCTGGCAGCTTTGGCAACGTTGACATACGGCCTGCACAGTCCTGCGCGCCGCCAGCCTTTCCAGGTGTAGTGTTGGCTGATGGTTAGTTCCGTGCAGTCTCGCCAGGATGCATCAGCACACCATGGTACCATTCAACTAGCTTCTTCTGCATAGTTTTAGGTACGACGATTTTTTCGTCCTTAACTACTAAGTCGTAAGGACTTATCCCCTCTGGGGAAAGATTGCTTCTTTGTAGTCGTTTGGCTTGTCCTGAGGAGTTCTTGATATCGTTGTCGTCTTTCTGACGATGTTCGATCTCGGGGAACGAGAGAGGGAACTCACTAGGGAAGTCCTCTTCGTCTGCAGCCATGAGTTCAGCGATCTCGCTGCGGTCCATCTGTTCTGAAGAACCGTCGTTGTTGGATAAGTCTCGACAACGCATCCGACGATGTTCTGTTCGCCCTTATGTCGTAGTTCAGGACAAGGTGTCGCGACAGCAGGACACTCGAATGAGCAAACCAGGCATAAGGAAGGGCCTTCGCTGTTCTGTGGCACTGTAGAGATGCCGTTCCCGCATCTGCTTCTTGGTGTACTTTATCCATTCCACGACAAACGACATCTGCCCATTCCGGTCCATGAGTGCAAACCGGAAAAGGGAATTTGTCAAGACAAAGAAGTAGTACGTCCCAGGTTCTGGAATATCTTTGCAGCAAGTGCACGCCTTGTCTCTCGCTTGGTTCTTGATGGAGACGCAGTTGTCCATTGCCCGGTAGCCCTCCAACCAGTCGCGAAGTTCCTTTTTCAGTGCTTCCACGTTGGGAGGATTCTTGCACTTTGAACCTCGAATAAGCTTGGTTCTAATGGCAGGAGAGTGGATCTTCCTCACAGGGCTGATGGCAATGCTATTCCTAGTTGGAGGGGTGGTAGTCAGAGGGTCCGTCATGATCAAATAGGTTGGTTTTCCACCATCTTGGGTTGACTTGGAATGAAACGAAAGAAGGAAAAGCTTCTTCGAAAGAGTTGTGGCGAGTGGTGGGAGTCAGCCAATGCCACACGATTAACGATCGCAACAAGAGGAGTTAGAAGTGTCGGTTAGCCCCTTCTCAGTAACTAGACGTCGGACGGGTATGTTCAATACATCGCTGGATAGGTCTATATGTTAGGAAGACGATCCGCGAATAAAAGGAATTTTCCACCACCTCACATTTTGACCGACGACGGACGGACATGCGCGGATTTTAGTGTGATCTGTCTTACATAAATGTACAAAATTTCGTCCTTGTGGCTTTGACTTGTCAATGGCGGGCCTAGCTAGCTGCCTGGTGCAGTTAGGAGAGAATTATGGTGGAACTCGAAGCGCTAACTTCCTGGTAGAAGTTTGACTTGAAAGATACTACATGACACATGTTGATCAGAAGCTATTATTATTCTCTACTAGAGTGATCTGGGTATTAAGACCCACCGTTCCGCGGAATATTCTCTTCAGGTCTGTATATCGAATATAGTACATGTAAAGAGGGGAATCGACAGAACACATGTTGCTGAGTAAGCCAAAAAAATCTCATCTTCATAGTGTACTTATTGGTGGAGTTACGGGCGGTTGAAGATATACACCCAACGGTCATCGAATTCTTTTCACTGCACATTAAGACCGAATGACGTCAGTCGTGCTCTAGTACTGAATCTACGTAGGATCCTACGTGGTACCGGTATGCGGTATCTTTCGCACCTCTATCGAAGCTCCCGTAGAGGTGCTTCGCACCTCTATCGTCTACGAATCGTCTCTTCGCACATGCATAGAGGTGCTTCGCACCTCTATCGTCTATCGTCTCTTCGCACATGCATAAAGCACCTCTATCGACACTCCTTCTATCGACACTCCTTCTATCGACACTCCTTCTTCCGTACTGCATCTATCGTTCGTCTACCGTCCAGGCTATCGACACTCGTTCCTCTCAAGATGGCCGTTTCCGACGATGGCATTGACGAAGGCATTGACGAAGAAGACGATGGCATTCAGGACGAGTACGGATGCATTGACAAAGAGGATTACGTACGATCATGATAGGGACTTCCAGATCAAGTACGTTGACCATTACAAGCAGGCTAACGTTACGGACTTCTTCAAGCAGAAAAGGAGACACGGCAGGCCCAAGAGATCGACTCTTTGCGAGTGAGACCGTTCCTGTGAACGGGATTGGCACTCACCGATAGTTTGGCTCAGATCGACGAGCTACACAAGAAGCAAGCAGTGGAAAAGAAACGCCAAGCCACAGAAAGCCTCAACAGCTTGGCTCCAAAGGCAAAGGAGAAGCCCGGGCGAAAGCAGGTTGTTGCTTCCCTGACTAAGCCCGAGATCGTTTCCCTGTTGACAGTCTACTTTGGGTCCAAAGCGGACACCAAATTGGCGAAGGGAAGCCTGGTAATTGAATTGGAGAACAGGATTGAGTCCAAGCCTGATGTGCTACAGGTACAGTTGAAGCCTAAAGCAGCTCCAGTAGCTGCTTTGGCTACTGGAATGCCCTAGTTTCAGCCAGGTCTTAAGCTATATAGCCATAATAATAATATAGTCTTAAGGTATCAGCCTAGAATATTACAATAGTCTTAATCTACTGCGGGTCTTAATGGGCAGATCACTCTAGCTAGAGTTCCATTTATTAGTAGCGGTACCGGTACCGGCGTTAGTCAGTTCGAAGACTGAGTGGTGATCTGGTCCATTGTTATATCTTATATTCAAGGTCCAAACATGTTGTCGGTGAAGTCTGATTTGTCCGATTTTCGGTTTCCAACTGAGAGTTTAACACAGAATTGGTACGGTTACATCCGTAAAACAAGGGGGGTACCAGCAGCTGTCCCAGCTAAGGCACCAGTACCGGCCGCATTGGCATCTCATTCTCCAATCGGCACATCGTCGCCATGCATTCATGCAAACTCTGATGAAAGGGCAATGGCGCAATGGCCATGGCGATCAGAAAGGGAAAGATGCAGCTTTCTACCTACTACCTACATGTACTGCTGTACCTTTGCTGCTCGTCGAATATGTACGTGGCGATTTACGTCCAGAAAGGTTGCTTGGAACACTCCAATTTAACAAATGAAATTATCGAGCGATCTGAGATCTGAGATCTGGATCTGTTCCTGTTCCATTGGCCGAACAAGCCAAACAACCTGCAATAAGGTCCAATAGCCTTCTGCATGCTGGGTGTGCTTATTGTTGCGCGAGGTGCTACAGTACTTTGAAGCACCACTTTCCTTTGGCCACCGTGCACCGTATCAGTCGTGGTACTGTCGTTCGATCCAACTAGTCTAGTCTGGCTATTGGCGCTCTGTTGGCGGACGAAGCTTGGTGTTTTCCTAAATCCTTCCTTTCTGGGCCGAACTCGCATGTGGTTGGAAGGCTTGTTGCGCACACAGGTGTCGCTGGTACCTCAGGTCCTGGCTGATCGTACAGTTGAACTCAAAAAGAAACCTTCACAAATTGCAACTGCCTCTTTCTCGCTCTTTTTGGTCAGTTTCCAATCAAATTACATGTAGCTAACTAGCTATCTACGTATAAAGTCGGTGAGGTTACCTGCGCTTCTGAATGGAGTTGCGTTGTGCCAGGAGAGGAGAGGATCAAATCCACTTTGCCCTCACTAGACGCGTGTCGCAACGTGCTCCTTCTCCTCATCTTGTTTGCAGCAGGAGCGAAAGGTTCAGTTACTCGATTGGGGGTTACTCGCTCGATTTGGGGGGTTGACTTCAAGACTTTACATGGCTTGACCAGTAGTCATGCTGCACGTTTTCACTTGAAGTTGCTTGTTAATACTGGGTAGTACCAGTGCCAGCCATGTGCAAGAATCCTTGAAATAGTTCCTCAACTCGCCTCTTATTACATGTACAATGACTGTTACTTTCGATCCACCGGGTACGGCTAGTTAGCCACTGGGAGACTGGGACGTTGCCACTAGATGACGATGCGATTGACAGGGTGTGAGTGCGGTGGGTCTTTGGGGAGAGAGGGATTGCTTCGCCTCTTTGCTACATTCGATTGGTCCCGTCCCAGAACCCCACCCAGCCAACAGCCCAGTCTGCAGCTTCAAAGCTGCCTTCTTCATTACGAGATAGCACCGGACAACTGAAGCCCCATTCAGCAATGACCACCCCTTTCCCCTGGGTGAGAATCAGATAGGGACTTTTGACATCAACCTCGAAGGCTGCTCCTGGTACACCGATAGCGACTATCGAGGTGCGGGAATGATTGAATTCAATTATTCAATCGAATCATTGGCAACCTAACACAAACTAGCTTACCGGAAGCCAGATTTTGTGGGTGTGGCCCTCGTCGGTTGTTAGTTCAAGTGTTCTACGCCAACCCCCAAACCTTTGTTGCTGGCTTTTCCGTAGCCACCGGAATCCACTTTGGCTGAAAAGCACAGGAACTCCATGCACAGTACCGACACCGTACCGGTACACTATGAAGTTGGGTGCGTTGTCAAAATAAATGTTTCAAATTTATGTATGTAGTGATGACGACTTCACCTCCTAAAAGAGCTAAAAACGTTTAGCCTTCTCTCACTTCTCGCGCGACTCTCGGGCAAATTCTGCTCTGCCTCTTCCATGCCAGCAGCCCCATCCGCATCTCTGTCGTCCGCAAGGCCACATTCGAGAACGGCACTGCCATTGGCAGCCGAGTCAGAACCGGTGGCATCTTCCTCCGGACACGAGAAAGGGTCGTTGGGATCGAAGTTGAATTCGTCGTCATCGTCATCTTCGTCTTGGTGCTGGCTGGTGGCATTATCGTGATAGGTGGTGGTGTCATGTGTCTCAGCCGCGAGATTGGAACAAACGAGATTGGAACAAGCGGTACCGGTACCAGTAACGGCTTTTTGGCATGCCGAGGCCCTGCTATCTGTGCAGCAAATTGAGGCCATGGGGTCTGCAGCGAAGAAAATGCGCTTGAAGGCATCCCAAGAAGTGACATGCGGGAACTTCTTCCGAATACGAAGATATGTTGGACGGGCTGGTAAGAGAGAAAGAGGATGGTTGAAGCCGTGCGTGGTGAGTGTCCTTGGTCTGTATTTGTATTTGTTGCTTGCTCACTACTGTATAAGAGACAAAAGATTCTTACCATAGATGAATGCATTGAAGAACCCTTGCAGAGGCACAAACATGGCCACAATGCACATGACAGGAAAGGGTGGTGCCGCCACAAAGATGTGATGAAACACCGGTCCAATCCATGTCAGGAAAAAGCACCCTGCGTACAGTGCTGACTGGATCAACACCTGCCTGTCACGACGATTCTTTTTCTTCGCAATCGCTGCCATCTGTTGACTTTGCCTGAGTCCTTTTTTGTCTTGGACCCCGGATTCCATCTGAGACGACCGACTCCATGCAGAAAAGACTGATGTAAAGTTCAATGATGAGGATCGTCTGCGTCCTTCAATTTCTGCCAACCGCATGCGATTTCTTCGTTCTTGTCGATAGACTTTCCACCAAATCATGAAGTTTGTAATCCAGACCCAGCCAATGCTGGCAAACATATTTGACATTTCAATCTTGGCCACTGTATGCATCTTGTCTGGTTGCGACGGGAAGGCACAGTCGGGGGTGCCAGGTCCTGTTTGACACCCAGGCGGATCGGAGGAGACCCAGCAGATACTGAAAGTCTGATTATACAGGCGGTAATACAGACACACTGCTCCCAGCGTGATAACATACAGGGGAAGCACACTGTGCAGTAATGGCTCAAATCGGACCCACGTTTCCAACCTCAATCCTTGGGTAACAGTCAACCAATAGTAGGTACTCAGCAGTGCACTGTAACCGATTGTGTTATGGGACATTTGCTGCAGGAAACCATGCATTCGACAAGATGCGGTGTTTCCCACAAAGCCGGGAACCTGACCTCCCTGTGGGGCCATCAAGAACGTATACCCCATGGCAAAGGAGTAAATGATGTCCCAGAGCGACATACCAAGCATCAAGCGCATGTGGGGTTTTTTCAGCTTTTCCGCACGCCCGGGTCCCAATATGGAATAGACAATCAACGACGACCCGATCATCGACAAGTTTCCCGGAATCAACAGGCCCCAGCCGATGACAGAATACTGCCATGTTGGAGTTACGGTTTCGATTCCTCCCGCCATGGTGAACTAGACTAGACAACTAGAGAGAGAGAGAGAGAGAGCTAGAGAGAGCAGAGTTGCAGCTCGTTTGTTTGTGTTGGGATAGACAACTGGATGGAAACTGTGGGCTCAATCATCAATCACAAGGTAGGAGTACATGTACAAGGTACCAGTACAATGTACTTGAGTACAGCATTACCGTAGTGAACGAAGAGGGTGTCACTTTATTTAGACATTCATGTTCAAATAGTAGTAAAAGAGAGTTTACGGTTGGAATGTACGGTACGGTACGGTACGGTACGGTACGGTACGGTACTTCCTGGAGCAGCAGCGAAGGATCCCACGGAACAAGTCCTAAATAGTGGACTCTTCTTTGCTTCTTGCCTACCGGTACTCCCGGCTCCAGGCTTAGCTTCCGTAGATAACCTATAACCTCCCAACTCCCAACGGTTTAACCTCCTTTCCCCTGTATTTGCAACGAGGAGAAAGCGTTCTAACGTGAAGTCTTTGGCCATTGTACTCTCTAAACAAAACAATCACACTAAATCTCACTTGCACCCCCCGAACGAGTACAGCTAAGAGTACTCAGAAAGACAGTTTTGGAAGCTGAGTCACGGACTCGGCAATCTCGGTTATCCAGACGGAGATCCGGGCGGAAGATTGACCGAGATTCAACGGTACTAGCTAGCTACTAGCTAGTAGTACATTATTTAGAATGACCGAGATTGGCCTTGGATCTCGGCCATCCAACCAAGATTGGCAAGCAATCAAGGACCCATGCCCATACCGACAATGTCATGGTAAACAGGAGATCGAACGACTGGTACATGTACGGTACGAGGTAAGCCTATTATCAAGAGTGTTATTGAAGGTGTAGATTCCAAAGCCATGCCTCATTGAATTTCTATGGACCATGGGTCTCGACCGTCAAAAGGTGAGTTGCTCTTTAATTATTCGAGTCGAGTCACTCAGTCGATCAATCCTACCTCTATTGTCTCTGCGGTACTACCATATCAAGCGCACCTATTTTATCAAGCCTCACTCAAGCCGACCGTCTTCGGTGCAGATTGGAAAGCCATCCCTCATTGAATGCTATGGGCGATGGGATGGCAGTCAGTTCTCGGCCCATGACAGCCAAGTTGGAGAACAAGGGTAAGTCGCCGGTCTTCTTCAGTATCAGAAGAGAAGAGAAAACCATATCTATTTCTTACTTTCTCTTCTTAAGATTACTGCCGACGGCCGAGGCAATACCATTGTCGAGGTCGAACAAACGAACGATCGATCGCTCCGGATAACAAGACAAGACGATGTATGAGGTAACAACGACACAACGAACTACTAGTACTGATACTCCAGAGTACCGGTAGCTACTAGCTAGGAAGGTTTCATTCTTATTAACTCAAACCGGCATCTCTCATAAGTCTTGAATCTCGGTCTCCAAAGTGCGCTACGCTAAAAGCTAGTGTAAAGATCTTGCCAGTGTTTTGAGTTTGAGAGAATGAAAGTTATGAGAGAGATTAGAAAGCCACGAAAACTAATCCACGAGAGAGATCGTTGTGAAGCTCATTGAAGTTGGTCTCCCGCGGGAGGCCTCGAAGTGTGATATCGTAGGTTATGGTAATAACGTGGTCCAATTCCGGAACACATGGAAACTTCAGCTAGTAGCTGTCTAGTAGCGTGGAAGCTCTCCACGCTGGCTAAATATCTAGCGCGATGTTTCATCATCAACCTAGTATGACTAGAGCGGTCATTGAGAACCATGTCTCAATGATTATTCACGAGAGACTTAGTCATGAGTCGAACTCAAACCCTATCTAGGATCGAGTCGCGTATAAGGCTAAGAGCCGTGTATTGCATTCGCCCCCTGACAAGGGTCACAGAAGGCACGACATCAGTCGGACAAGGAGAACATATGAATTAAAGTACGGGGCACTCTCCGGATATTGGATGTAGACATGTGCATCGCACGATGACAATCCTACAAGGGGATCATGCCTTGTATGGGTGTAAATACCTTATGTTCCAAGTCTGGTAGACTGTGTCGCCATTAGCGGTAGCATGTCGGAGCCGTACAGTGCCATTGTCATTGACTCGGTCTATATTGTAAGGACCTTTGTACTTTGGCTAACCGTACTTGCGGTGCTGATACTGGTGAATCATCACGGTATCCTCGTTGATATTGTGTTGATGAGGGACACGTGCCGCGTTTTCCCTATTGTTGTTTTGTTGGAGGTCGTTGGCGACGTTCCTTTATGTATTTCAAGGTTTGCTTCGAAACAGACGTTGTAAATCGCGTCACGATTGAACACGAGCTGTGCAGGCATTGCGCGCAAGATGGTATGAATCGTGGCATTCATTGCGAACTGAACCGCCGTGAGGACTCCATCCCAGGATCCATTCACGAGGTTGTCTTGACACTTGATATTTTGAACAGCTATCAAGTTACGAATGGTCTGATGAGCACGCTCGACCATCGAGTTGGCTTGAGGGTTACGTGTGGTGATGAACTTGCGGCGATGTCCATATTCATCCCGGAGAGTCTTCTCGACTTCTGCGCAGAACTCACGTTCTCTATCAATGATAACCTCAGCAGGCCAGCCATGGATACCGAGTAAGCCACGTCTGTTCTAGAACGATGGCTACTTCGTCTGCTGCTTTGGAGCAGATCTCAGCAATCTCGAACCATCCGGTTACGGGATCAATCATTGTCAGGCAATGAAGTGTACAGGAATTCTTTTTCTTAGGATTATCCCCGACGTTGTATGGACCTGTCAGGTCAATGCATAGTCTTTCCCATGGGATCTCCTCGCAAGTCTTTGGAGAAAGCAATCCCAGCTTACGCGTCTTGGGTTTGTTCAGTTGGCAGCTTTGGCAACGCTGACATACGGACTGCACAGTCTTGTGCAACCCTTTCCAGCCAGGTTAGTGTTGACTGATGGTAAGTTCTGTGCGAGTCTCGCCAGTATTCATCAGTACACCATGATACCATTCGACCAGCTTCTTCTGCATGGTCTTAGGCACAACAATCTTGTCGTCCTTGACTACTAGTTCATAGGACTTGTCCCCTCTGGGAAAAGATTGTTTCTTGTAGTCTTTTGGCTTGTCCCTGAGGAGTTTCTTGATATCGTTGTCGTCTTTCTGACGATGTTCGATCTCGGGGAACGAGAGAGGGAAGTCCTCTTCGTCTGCAGCCATGAGCTCAGCGATCTCGCTGGCATCCATTTGTTCTGAAGAACAATCGTTGTTTGTGATGTTAAGTCTTGACAACGCATCAGCGACGATGTTGTGTTCGCCCTTGATGTACCGGAGTTCAGGGCCGTATTCTTCCAGAATAAGGCGCCATCGCATAACGCGATTGGTATTGAACTTCTTACAGGTAAGATTCTTGTGGTCAGTATGTACTACAATCTTCTGCCCGAGAAGAATGTTACGGAACTCCTTGAGAGTCTCAACGATACTGAGAAGTTCCTTGTCAGTTACCGCATAGCGTGTTTGAGCGGGATTGAGTTTCCTGCTGTAGAACGCGACAGGCTTTCCCTTCTGGGAAATCACTGCACCCAGTTGCGTATCACTTGCATCCCTGTGGATAACGAATGTATCATTGAAGTCAGGGTAAGCGAGCAAGGTTTCTTTGCTGATGATTTTCTTCATCTGGCGAAAGGCCTTGTCATGTTCAGCTTCCCATTTCCACTTCTTAGTTTTGGAAGTAAGTGTAGCGAGTGGTGCTAGTACATGTGATCGTCTGATCCACATATGTTTCCGTACGTATAGCGTGTTTGAGCGGGGTTGAGTTTCCTGCTGTAGAACGTGATAGGCTTTCCCTTCTGGGAAATCACTGCGCCCAGTTGCGTATCACTTGCATCCGTATGGATAACGAATTTGAAAGCATTGAAGGAAAGTGCTATGGTGCAGGCAGAGGTTTTAAGGAAGGCTACAAGGTACTGGAGGAGCATGCCCTCAGACTTGCTGCGGAGCATTGCAGGTCAATGGGCAGGGATGTGCCAAAGTGGCATGTTTCAATGGATACATCCTACCTCCATTCTAAGATGTTTGCTTTACCAAGAACCTGCCAGCACTATCACATTGACATACGTGCCCAGGATATCAAAACCGATCTTTTGGATAAAGACGTCTACGTCTTCAGTGTGTTTATGCGGTTGCAGGAGCACGGGATGTTCCTAAAACTTATCACCAACCCACAGTTTGGTGAGGCTGATGACAAGATGGCTTTCGTACAGCATGGGAGCTACCTCATGATGCCAGCAACAGCCTGGCATTCAGGTAGCTTCTCCACAAGTCTAAAGGGCAACCTATGGGCACAATTTATGTTTGCCTGACACCTGAAGGAATGAGTAGACGGCCAGTCCTGTCCAGTTATCTGAACAATACGATCTACCAGGGTGATTCGGATGGAGTTCTGCTCCTTGATGAGCGTGGCAGGAGACCCCATGTTTGGGACGGTGCAGATGCAGAGGTCGATGAGAAAGGTCAGGTCAAGGTCAGGGTTCCCAATAGGTAGCATTGTCCTTTCGCATTCCGGTACAGATCCAGAGGATGCAATTCTTCATGAATTAGAGAGTACTATCTCCAAGGCAGGTTTTGATGAATTTGAATGATATCCTTCTCTTGTAGCTCTCTAAAGTAAAGTTTATAGTGCCTGTTAGTAATTGCATCTGTTTTGTATTACTGCTTGTTGGGTATTATCCTTTAGTACCAATGCCTGACTAGTCCCCTGCCCCGATGTGGGGGTGGTTTTGTCAATTTTGGGGTGCGTTGGATTTTTGTTACTGTTTGTTCGGGGTCCCCTTGTTTGTTCCTCCTTTCGAGTGGATTTTGGTGGGCTGGCTGGCGCGCATGATGTTTCACATTGTGAGCAGATGTTTCATCAGCCTACGATTCAAATATGGAACCAGATGTTTTCTATCATTTTTTGAAGCCAAACATCCCACATCAATTCGAAACATCCATTTCCAAGTCAAACATGCTACTACAACAGCGAAACATTGAACCCTACTAAAAAAGCCCGTAGGATTTTTCAGATGTATCCCCACTGCAACAAAAAAGGGTCCAACCAAGTCATGGCCGACTCTCCCTCCGTCTCCGGCCTTGCACAGATCTTCAGAACGGGCTGGGAGCAACATTTTGAAGATGATGTAAACAACCGCTGGAACCCCAAAGTCAGAGAAATGCTGGTGATGTCCATTCTCCTCCGATACGACCAATTCATCGAAGTCCTCGAATCGCACCCGGAATCAACTCCTACCCTCACCCCACAACACCTCTTTGTTTGTCGCATCAACCAAGCCCTGGAGAAAGCAGGAGTTCATGATGTCACGTTCGATGACTGGAAAGACCAGGCTCTCAATGCCTTCCTGTCCCGGAACTTGCCAGGCATCCCAATTGACAAGTTCCCCTTGTATGGTGGAGAGAATGGAAATGATATCCGCATGGGTCCCTGCTGCTTCGTCGATCACTTCAATGCTCTCGCCTCGGTAACCCAATCCATCCACATGAATGTCCAATGCCAACAGCACATGTTGAACTACGATACCAACGTGATGAAAGACGAGTCGACAGGTACTTTGTCTCCAGCCTGTTGAGCATGAGAAACTCTGTTGAAAAGATTGAATATCACCTCTTTAATGGAGACCCGATGACAGGTGTGTCGATGAACACGGGATCACTCAGGGGCCTCTCCCCAATGTTATCAGGTTCTCCATCAGTAGCAAAGGTCTTACAAGTCAATCGTCTGTGGCAGATGTAACCACCGCCTTCTTCACTCAGAATTACTCGTATGGTTACGAATTGGATTTGAAAGCCCCCTCGTGGAACGACCTGCATCAATCCGAAAGGAACGCCTGCGCAATCTCTTCGGTACCATCAAGAAAGCTGTGAAGATGGTCTTAATGCACGCATATTCCTTTCCTCCTCCTAACTCTGAAGGATCATCAGAGTCGTAGAAGCAAACACTCAGGAGGACTGCAACATTGGTAGAGGAACGCATACGAAAAGAGTTTGACTTTGATTGTCAACAAGACCATCATCACAACCTACAGACTCACCAAGCACCCTGAGTTTTCTACCAAAGCGGCAACTCTGAAACTACCAGATAACACTCTAGATGATCTCCGCAAGTTCTTCAAGAGTGATTAAAACTCCAACTAAAACATCATTAAAAAGCTAAAGTGTACGCGTCTTAGCTCTCTTCGGTGTCCCGAGTGGCTTCATCATCCTCCTGACGAGCAGGCAAGGAAGCAGAGTCATTAGCTGCAGAGTAACCACCAAGGGCACCAGGGGTGCTCTGGCTGCCGATGTTATTAGCAATGGTACCGCTGGGGATCGGCGGTCCTGGAAACAAAACACCGCATCCGTTCCATCTGTATCTGGAGGCGGCATTTGATCACCAACCCCACCACCAGAGGAAGCCATCATAGGAAGACCAACATCACCAGGACCGCCACCGCTGGCAACAACAGTACCGCCACCACCGGCATGATGATTGTCACGCGTAGAAATAGAGGAAACACCACTACTGCCATCAGCTACTTCTACCTCTTGGGCTGGCGCCCCAATGTTAATGGAGGCTGCAGCCTGTGGCTGTTGCTGCTGTGGCCCTGTCTGAAGCAGCTGTAAGACTCAAATCTGGCTATCCTGATTCAGCCCGTGAACTTGCCGGAGCGCGTGTTCCTCTTCTGCTGTCAGGTCCTGAGCATCAACATTGTTGTCGTTGTTGTTGGGTCGTCCATTGTAAAGAGATTGAGAAAATAAATTGTGCGGTCAACAACAACACACGAGGAAGGTCGCACTTCAAGATTAGAGAGTACGACCATGATAAGCAGCTGATAAAAGCAGCTCAGTCTTACTATTAGCGTGGCGAGATGAGATGTGCGGTATGTACCGCAGGCAACTGTGTGAGTGCAGATCGTGCGTTGCGTTGATTTGCTTGAGGGGATTGAAATATAACTGGTCACTGGTATGAACGAGCTGACTACCTTTCCCTTTCTTTTGATTTTTGCTTTAAAAAGGTCGAACTTCCCACGAGATTTAACGGAATATAGATGCTTTGTAAGGTCAAAACATGTTGGATTGAAGTGGCGTAGTCACTTCGTTCTGTTTGACAATCTGAAGATTTAATATTTATTACTGCATTTCTAAGGTCAAAACACGTTTGGGGCCCTCGTGATAAGAAAACATCAGAAAAAGAGGAAAGGTATTCTACTAGACTATTTTTAATAGCTAGACAGTGCAAACCCCAACACACAAACCACTCATATAAGTCACCAGAGCTGTTTGAACACACTTTGGTACCATTGACACGCATCAACCTGGGCAGCTAGAATTGCCGGTTTTTTCCGGAACGGTACAATGTACCAAGTGTTGATTCAAAGTCACTTGTCATTCCCATCATTAACATCTTCACCAGTTCTTTCGAGTCCACGCAGATCTATCTTGTTTGAGTCACAGTCACACTACGAGAACGCAGTTTTTCGCTCTTTGGAGCTTTAAAAAAAGGCGTATTCTACTAGTAGGGACCGCAGGTTTTGGTGGGGTCTGGGTAGGACAGTTGCTTCTTCCAACCAGCGAGAATCATTCGCTCACCGTTGCTCCTCGAGCTCATGCTTCATCGCAGCCATCGTGCACCTTTTTGTTGTTCTGCCCTGACTATTGACTTGTGGTGGACACTAGTATGATTCATGAGTAGTTTGGTTTCTGGTATCAACTACTAATTCTGCTGCCAGATAGTGTGTAAAGTGGGAAGACATACTTGAGTAGTTTTGGCTAATATGAGCTATGTACAGATTGTTTGCGTGTGCTTTTGCTTTGCTTTTTGTGTTGTTGGTCAACTCCAAGTTGCACCTCGTAGCTAGTTAAGCTTTTGCTGCATGTGCTGGCATTGTCAGTAGGCGGATGTTGAGAACAACATCACTAAAATCGTCGGCGTGAATTGTGTCGGTTCTGACTCTTTCTTCTTTGATCATAACTGCCATCAGGAGTAACATCTGATGTGCTTCCTCGAACATGTTTAGCTCCGCATTAGCGCAGGCTAGATTGTTCAATGATGCGATGATGACATTGGAGCAGTCGTACCTCAGCTGTTGATTGAGAAGGTTCAATGTAATTTGGTACAAACTCTTGCTTATCTCCAGGAATTTGCCTCCATCACCATGGGCGTGCCCTTCGAGCTGATATGAAAGACCCAAGTTGAATGCGATCACAGCCACATACGACAGGATATCTTCGTCGGTGATGATGGCTTGAGGATTGAAAAAGAGAGGCTTAGAGTACACAAAGCCCCTGCTGTCGTCAACTTGGCGCGTTCGGTCGGTGTAAGGAGAAATCGTCGGAACTGGGAAGTCTTTGTGGGGGCAGACAGGAAGCTCGAAATGCACAAGCTGAAGAGCTCCGGCAAACAATTTGGATGCTTCTTCAATGCTGCCAGCGATTAGGCAAGATGCTCCTTGTTGGTTCAACGAAGCTGCTTGGACAATGCGTTGTTGCATCAAAAGTGCTGGTGAGATATTGGACTCGTCTTGTTGTGACTGCGCTGGTTCCGACCAAGCTTCTTGGATAGCTGTGTTGTGCTGCATCTTCAGTTTTTTGTTTTGTTTCTGTTTGTTTTTGTTTTTGTTTTTGTTTTTGTGAGGTCGTTGCTAAGGTTTTCTTTTGTCTCTTCGCTTTTGTTGTGGTTGGAAAAGTGAGACTGTGTTCATTCCTCTTTCGCAACTCTTCGCTTTCTGTTCGATTGAGATTGTTCGTTGCGAGGAGTGCGGAGGATCTTGCCGGCACCGATCAGAACCTCCATTACTTGCACCCTGCACAGGGTTACGAATGAGATTCGCCAGCTCAGGATAGCTTCAGAGCAGTCTTTTACACGCCAAGAGAATAAGAAGCTGGAAAGATATAAATGAAGTGCTCTTTCATAAGGTTGGGGTCAAAATGAGTTAGCCCTTTTGGCCTTTTGGGTCGCTTTCGAGTGTCGCTTGGATCGCTCAATGAAAATTGTCTTGAATTCCTCCTTTCGTGGCTTCATGTCACGTGCGAGCTCTTTGAAGTTTGAACAATAATATTCGACATCCAACTCGCCACAGCTCTCGCCACTGAATTGCAAAGGTTCGATTGAATGTGTCTTGTTTAATGATGGGGGTTGCCTTGTGCCAGGGACCCATATTGCATCCTTTCTCGTCAATTGCCGACCTTTTTACCATAACACGCGAATGTTCATGTTTTGATCTCTATGGTCACTGGTTGCATAATATCCAAAATCCGTGTGCTCCAGCCTTTGTGTGATGTTGGAGTCAGTTGAAGGCACCGCTATGCATACCGGTACCGGCACAGGTAGCGTCCCTCTGAGGTGAACATGTGGAGGGGACATACCGGTTGACGTAGCCGGGGAACCGGGGAAAAAGCCTGGCCCTCGCTAGCTTCCATATATTTGCTCCCTACACCAACTGTTTCCTTAGCATGGGAACTGGATGCCGTACTGTGCACACTGGATGCCATACTGTGCCCACCATGTCAAGTGCGGGTATCTTATGATTCGATTCTTGAAGGCTTCGGGCTTCGGACAAACTAAACGAAATAATATAGCTTGAGGTTTCCTCAAAACAGCCCTCCAGGTTAGTCTAATGAAGTCTGTTTTTTACAAACACCAACAGCAATTGTAACAAGAAACCTTCTCTTCTGTGCGATCACTTTTCTAATGCATAAAACCCTGGCGTGGTGACATGTGAGATCCATATGGATCCATAAAGATATTAAAGTGTTGGGGAGAGAATTGGAGAGAAGTGTTTTATAGGGAGATAGAATAGTTTTCTCGGATGGAGCTGGCTTCCACGGGTGCCCCCGATGTCCGCGATCCAGTAGCTGAAACGAATGATCAATCCATCCTCTTTTCAGTGGCGAAATCTTTGTTCCGCTTTGCTACCGTCGAAGTTACCACCCTACACCACCACAGGACAATAGATGGAGCTAACCGCAAACAGAACAAGCATGAAACGGAAACCAAAAGCTTATTGCCAGAGAAGTAAATAAATAGGGCGCGTTCTTTTAGGGAGACGCTGGGTTCGCTGTATGTGGCACTCTTTAGAGGCAGTTCTTCGCTGTCAACAGTTTTGTCGACACTCCTACATGTACTAGACCACCATACCACAATCTCTTTTCATGCCACAGTTCTGCTGCCTCGTGCCACTCGGCACCAGAACTCCAGCCTGAAGGGTTGTCTCTGTCAATCCCAGTAAATAATTATTTAGTATTCTCACTTTTTGCTGCATAGATTTTGATTTTTAAAAATGATCTGAACACCTGAAATAAATAATGAGTTATGGCTGAATCGGTACAGTAGCTGTGGTAGAGTAGAGTCCACCCTCAAAGTGATGCATGCGCTGAAGACAGAATTTGCTAGCTAGCGTTGAAAGGTGGCTGGTTGAGTGGTTGAGTGGTTGATGCTTGCTTATTCCTCTGTACACTGTAGACTACTCGTGTACGGTACATTCTACACGATGTATCACCAAGAAGGAGCACTGGCTGGTGGCTGGCACATGGAAGCAACCCGCGAAGGAAGGCACGTGTGCTCTATATGCATCATTCGCTGTGAACTTGCCGGAAGTTTGCTTTCTGCTTTTTATAAAAAATATTACCAGTATTATTTTAATTTAGTAGTATGGATGCATGACATGCATGAGCTGTGCATGTTGCGTGAGAAGCCAACAACATGTGCTCTGAGTTTTTGTGTTCCCAGGCAGTCAGAAGATGTCTCGTGTTTCACGTCCAATCGTGAAACTGTATTGTCCGAACTCCGAGGACCATCCGCACTCTGTCTACTACATGTAGCGGAAGCCTAGCCACCAATAGCAAGCGAGACATAGACTGTGCCAGTCGTGGTAAATTTCAACTGCCAATGAATGTGATAGTCCCCATCTATGGCCACGGTACATGTCTTGTAAGTGGCTGTGTGTAGTGGTCCCAGTGCCACAATTGCCCAACCAGCCATTGCAACAGGGAGAAGTTACATGTAAAGATGGTGGATTGATGGCTGGAACCGCTTCCCAGTGAATCTTGAAGCCACAAAAGAGTTCCTGTAGACCTGTTTCTTCTGTAGCAACTGTGCGGTACTGGTAGGCGGCTTGCAACACCTCCATCTCCAAATACATCCGGTACCTACTGTGCATCCACCACACTCCGTGGATCCGGCTCCCGCCCCGTAATGGCCCTCAATTTCTTGCCCCTGATCCCACAGAACCTAGTCCTGAAATTTCGACAGTGCTTTGCTTAAGCCTGGTCCCTGTTGAATGTCCTCCTGCTGTTACGGTACTAAAATCTACCTACTCTACTATCCCCGTCGTAACCACACTCTGCAAAGCTTTGGGCGGCGGAGTGCCCAAAGTTTCCGGGTTGGCGGAGTGCCGAAAGCGGAAACTTCAACAGTCACGGTCGGGTTGAGTCATTAGTTACCGTAATAAGGTTAACAATAACAGAGCGCACCTTTCTCATCTGGCAATTCGCCTCCTCTTCCCACCAGGTGCTTGCTGCTTGACCAGGTGTTGCAGGAGCCACAGCGAAGAAGAGAAACCTTTTATTTCTGCATTCTTTGCCAGACAGTGCGGTC